CCTGTACACTACTGAGTACACTTTTTGACTCGCTTCACATATTGTATTGTACTGTATTGTATTGCATTTGTAACTTGTGTAAGCATATACGCTTACATTTCAGTTAAAAATGTACATTGTTCGTCAGGCAGAATGAAATAGAGTGAGTGGGGGGAGGCAAAGGACTATAACGTAATGAACAAAATTAATTGCTGTCGGAAATCAACTTATTTCATGGAACAATGGCATGCGCTGACGGAACCGTCACTTGCTAACACATCATTGTTGGAATAGGTAAAGTTTGCAGCTAATATGACATTAAAATCCGTATTTTTTTCGGAAATCCCTGACGAACTAACGGTTATCAATCAAGGTCACCGAACTTTCTCCACTTCCCTGAAAAACTAAGACTTACTTTGGCTTTCTCAAGCTGAATAGTCGCTTGTTCTTCTGTCTCTTCTCGTGCAGCCTCTTCTTCATCATCTTCATCGTCGTCTTCATCCTCTTCGTCTTTCTCAATGAAGTCATCGTCATCCTCGAATTCATCTGAATCATTCGCATCCGGGCCAAAACTGCTCTCTGACTGACGATGTCCACGAGACATCGATTTTCTTGGTGAGTCAAACAGATAAACCGGAAAAGTAATAGGCACAAAGTGGATATGAAGCCGCAGCCGAGATTCGCGAATAGATTAGAGTATTTTTTACACAACTGAGTCCAGACACTACATAGAGGAAAGAAATTCCATGATTTGTTCGTGGGCGTGATACTTCTATTTTTTTATTAAATACCTAAGTGTGCTGAACAGCAGACGGGGCGAACCTCATAGTCATGAGGACCCGCTGATTACCGGCAACCTAAGCTCCGGGACTTGGAGTGACGTGGTATTGAATCAGACGACAATAGAGCTGCCTAATACCAAAGCAGAGAGGCGATGGCGGGGCTAGAACCTCGGACCACGGGGTCCAAAGCACGCCGGTGACAGCTACCAAACTACTGCGCCACCATCACGTGCAAGGCTGTTCAGGCTAACATCCCCGAAGTCACCGTGATGATGTTGCCTAGCCTGGCTAGTCTGCTAACAACACTTCCGGTTCGAGGGAAACACCAACATATATATA